TTTTCCACATCGTTTTAACTTCTAAGCTAATTATAGACCTACATTCCATGCTTCTCTCCTACTTGATCAATGAAAAATATTAACTCCCCCATTTAAGCATATAAGTTTTTTTTTGTCTTGCTTTTAGCACAAGTTCGATGACTGACCCAAATCTCAGTAAATTCCTTCAAGCTTAATTTCTCATATGTCCCATATCTCTCTCTCTCTCTCCTCTCTCTCTCTATATATATATATATGTGTAATGTGGGATCCTTAAATTCCATACTTGTACCTCATCTTCTTTTTCTATGTACTATGATTCTTCTTGTGCTACGCTCAACGTTTGAGAAGTCTCACAAGGAACACAAGAGGCAACACCCCACGCTCCCTCATTTAATATCTTCACCTCTTTCACTCCTCTTAACCTCCAAAACACCGAGAGTGCACAACAACATCTTAGGACTTTCTGGTTTTTCATGTACTTCTTAGTTTGAAAAGACTTTGAGACACATAGTTACTGACACCCAGAAAGAGAGGGTCATGGAATTGGGTGTCTTTAGTGTTTTTGTTGGTGCTTCAGTACTTGTTTTCTTGGGTGGTGTTGAAGTGGGCTTCTCACAAAGTGAAGCATATGCAAGGAATTATATTAGCTGGGCTGATTTGAAGGTGGATGAGCAGAAGGTGGGGCTGAACTTCAGAAATGAATTCGTTAACGGAAGCCGGGTCATTGTGGTGGACAAGAACGGAGGAGGAGATTCTCTTACAGTTCAAGGAGCAGTTGATATGGTTCCAGAACAGAATACAGAGAGAGTCAAAATTTACATTCTTCCTGGAATTTACAGGTATGTCTGAGTTACTATAATATATCAAGCTTTCATTCAGGCAATGAAAATTCTGAGTCAAAATTGTTTCTTGAATAACTCCTAACAATGCTAGATTGTTTATGTGCCTCACGTCAACAGAACCTCAAAGAATTTTCAGGTCCTGCAGTTCTTGACAGTTTCTAGTGTTCTTGAGGGTTGAGTTCAAACCCAATTGAGCTACGTGGGGTAGTGGAAGTTATATGTGCTTTAAGTGGGCGCCTCTCCCTTAAAATGGGTTGCCCCAAAAAGAAAAAAAAAGAAGAAAAAATTACCTGAATAATGTTAATGTGCTTTATCTGAGAACAAAAAATAATTTTTACTTCATTTTTTCTCTGTTGTAAATTGATGCAGAGAGAAGGTACTTGTACCGGTTTCCAAGCCATACATATCATTCATTGGGAACCAGAATCAAACTTCTGATACTGTAATTACTTGGAACAACAAGGCATCTGATAAGGACGATACCGGTTGTGAACTTGGAACATATAAAACTGCGTCTGTAGCTATAGAGGCTGATTACTTCTGTGCAACTGGGATCACTTTCGAGGTAACGGCTAATAACGAACTCGGATGTAACATAAGGAGAAAAGATTAAAATAGAAATTATGTAAATTACAACATTCAGTAACAGTAAGTAATTGGTATGCAATTTTAGAACTCAGTGGTTGCAGTACCTGGAGGATATGGAATGCAAGCAGTGGCTCTTAGAGTTGCAGGTGATAAAGCCATGTTCTACAAAGTAAAGGTGTTGGGGACACAAGATACACTCTTGGATGAGACTGGATCACACTACTTCTACCATAGTCACATTCAAGGAAGTGTAGACTTCATATTTGGTAGATCAAGATCACTCTACCAGGTACAATGGCTAGCATTTTAATAGCTGCCTCTTCACGTTTCTTCATTATTCTGATGCTTGAATTTGGGCCTTGCTACCAGGACTGTGTTCTTCAATCAACGGCAACGAATGCGGGAGCAATAGCAGCTCATCACAGGGACTCACCATATGAAGATACAGGGTTCTCTTTTATGAACTGCAAAATCATTGGAACTGGCAGTATCTTATTGGGAAGAGCTTGGGGAGCTTATTCAAGAGCAGTGTATTCCTACTGTCATTTCGACGACATAATAACTCCCTCGGGGTGGAGTGACTGGAACCACCCAGAGAGACAGAAGTATATATAACCTCTCTTGCAGAAAACTTAACATCTTGGATTATCTCTTTTTGTTTCTCAAAATATGGAAACTTTTAAACTTCTAACAGAGGAGAGAACTTTGCATTTACAGGACTGTGGAATTTGGAGAATACCACTGCAGGGGCAGAGGAGCAGCAGAGAGAAGAGGGAGGGTGCCATGGTTGAAGTCTTTCAGCTTTGAGGAGATAAGGCCTTTTCTGGATACCAAATTCATATATGGAGACCAATGGCTTAAACTATAGTTTTGTTCATTATTGTATTATAATTTCCCTATCCTCATTTTTTACTACACCACTATGGAAATGCAAATAGGCTAAGTACATATATAGGGGACTAAGATCATGGGACATGTATAAGTGACGCAAATTCTGAGTGTATATTTTTTTTTCCTTTTCCAATCTATACAATTCTGAGTGTAAATGGTCAGGGTGACCTAAGTTTGTTCAAATCAGTGCCTGTTAGCATCATAAGAAGTACAACATGGATAATTATTTAAAAACACAAATTTGGTCACTGTGTTTAGGCCCGAAAACACATTTGTTCACCGAGATTTGAATTTTACCAATTTGGTCACTATATTTCTGTCTGTTAGCAATTTAAGCCAAAGTTGTAATTTCTGTCACTTAAAATTAGAAAATAAGATTAAAATACAAAAGAAGCTTGGAAAAAAAAATTGAAACAGTCCGTGCCCTGTATACAAGCCATCGACCCTGCCACTCCAACCCACCAAGCCACCACCTCTCTCTCTCTCGCCAACCACCAGCCACCGCCCCTGTTATTATTTGATTAAAACCACAAAATCAGGAGCGAATTTCAAGTGGGCATGCTTAAAACTGAGATGGGTACCGATCAAAATTGAAAGGGAAACAGAATTGCTGAACAAAATTTAAAATTTTCGAGCAGCTGATGATGGGTGGGGGGGTGTCCTCTGTTTGTGTGTTGCGCTCGCTGGAGGACAAGGCACCTACGGCCATGTCTATGTCAATGGCTGCCATTCTCTGTAGAAAATTCCACTGTGGAGGTTGGTGATGATGATGGGTGCTGTTGGGGTTTGGAGAAGTGGCCTCCTAGGTAATCATTGGCTGATTGTAAGGTTGTTTTAGGAAATGAAGAACTGAGGGAGATTGTAAAGCACAGTGTGCACGCAAGGTGTTTGTATTTTTGCTTCAGATAGAGCTTTGCTCTCTCTGATTTGAATTTTGAAGAAGCAAAGAGAAGAGAGAGAGAGAGAGAGAGAGGTCTCTAATGACGTGGGAAAGGGGCTTAGCCGCCGAGGGGCAAAGAGAGGTGTGGCTGTGGTGGTAGGCGCAGGGAGTAGGGATGGCGGGGCTGGGTACTATTGGGTAGGTGGGGAAGGCGGCTCACGGCGTAACAGGGAAACATGGGGTCGGTTTTTTTATTTTTTTATTTTTTAATTAATGAAACTGACGGAAATGAAGCATGCGACCTGATTTGCTATGTGCTGCAAATGCGTTGATCAAATTCGAAAAATCAAAATTATGGTGACTAAAATCGTTTTCGATCTTAACCGCGGTGATCAAAATATTTTTAACCTTTTTTCTAATTTCGAAAAACGAGTTCTAAACTACATGGAGCCAAGAAAAATTAGTTGACATACAAGAGACTGCTGAATGTTTGATACGAGTTACAAGCAGGAAGAACACGAGCAAGGTCACTAAACTGGAAGAACCATGCTAATCTAAGGAATCAGAATTACAATCATTGAAAACCCCAGTAAAAATAGTAACAATTATCATAAAACTCTAATCTCATAACTGTACACCCACGAAAGCCACCAACTCCAAACAAAGCAGTGAGCTTCTCCAGCACATCTGTGTAACTATTTACAGACATCCTAACTGACACCCTTTTTCAACACAAGGGAACAACACTTGCATCCTTAATTGCCACCCTTTCAACATAGGGGAACAACACTTGCATCCTTAATTGCCACCCTTTCAACATAGGGGAACAACACTTGCATCCTTAATTGCCACCCTTTCAACATAGGGGAACAACACTTGCATCCTTAATTGCCACAATTTAAGGCTATCCGACTTGAGTTAGACATCTTACGATGTCACTTCCATGATTTCTACTGCTTTGGGGCTTTGCCCTGGAGTTTCAAACACCTCCATGCCTTCTCGGCCCTCATCATCACCTATGTTTTCACCTTTGTCATCCTCACAATTGTTGTCATCTTTGTTATCATCATCATCATTACCTTGGACATCCTGTGCATCACCACAACTGTCATTGACATCAACACCTTCAGTACCAATGTGTTTTAATGATGGGGCCTTCTTATCATTGACCAAGTCCATATTTTCAGGAGCATCATAACTGGAAGATGCATCCAAGTTCAGTTTTTCCTCTTCAACATGTTTAGTACTAGAAGGAACTTCAATATACGACAAAGCTAAACCATCGGTGTTGACATCTTTGGCAACAGTGGGCGATGTAAAGGGATGAGTGCATGAGCTAATTTTTGAAGATATGGCTGAAAGTACATCAGGCTTTGCCTCAACATCAACCCACTGGTCCCCCAACCAATCTCTTGATATTCTCAGATCCTTTTTGTGCACGTTCAAGAGTAAGCTTTCACCTGATACCACCACAGTAATTACATAATAACAAAGGAACGAAGGAAAATTTAGGGAAGAAACAGGGGAGAAAACTAGATACAATTTCTACCATGCATACCAGGAAAGAAAACTTCAAAGTTATCACCACAGCTGCCAACTCCAGTGATAATCCCTTCCCACCAGCCATCACTCCACCATGCATCAATTGCAGCCCCAACCTCAAGAGCAAGGTCCATTTGTTCTTTAGGAGGGGCTGGCCGGATCATTGGGCGGCCTAGATGCCTTATGGCAAGCTTATCAGGCATAGCCAGTCTAAAAGCTGGGATCCATTCCTACAAGTTACAGAGAGAGGGTCATGCCGCCAGAATACAGTTCAAAGCCCAAAGGAAATCAAGGAAACACAGAACAATCACTCAAGAGGACACAATAGTTTATGTGGTCCGATCTAACCAAATGCTTACATATAATGATGAAGAAAATCATAAAAGAGTGAAGGTTGACATGCTTTTCAGGGTAAGAGTTCAGAATTTTTTTTATAAATAAAAAAATGAAAAAAACAAAAAAAAAACACAGATGCTGAGGAGTTCATGTTATTAGATAGAGATATGCACACAACTGTAAAATCTCAACATGCTAGATTACATCTCCTAATGAGGGAAAGTACCGAAGAAAGAAGAGAAAAACTGTATTTTGAATTGGAATTACAATGAAGGGATGATTAAAAGAGAATCTTGAATGGAAATTTTGTGCACTTAACTTAAACATGACGTCAGCATTTTTACACCACAACTTAGAGCTAAAAACAAATATTAAATAAAGAACATATACAAGTGGCTAAGCATACCTCAAGATTGCCACATCCTTCCTCATCTTGCAAATCATCATATTGGACTTTCACCTGTTTTCGTGATATCTGCAAGACAGTACACCTAAACCAGCAGCCTCGAATGCCACTATCTTGGCATAGCAATTCTATCTTTTCAGCAACCTTAAAGAGTGGGGTATACCAAGGCTGATAATCAACAAGCTTCATGGAAAACAGTTTCCTGTCTAGCGAACCATAATTTGATTTCTGAAGAGGTCTATATGCCATCATCTGGCTATCTCTTGTAGAACTTCTTGCTTTTGAATGATTAGCTGCAAACCTCTGGCATGGCCTTCCACTTCTAGTCCTCTTAGATCCTAGTTTTAAATACTCACTTGGACCCAATTCATCTTCTTCCCCAATCAGGCTATCACTTATAAACTCAGATTTTGCTGAAAAGTTGGGACCCAAACAAGAGAGAATTGGCTGATCAAAATAGCCATGCATTTTACTCAAATCAAATGGCTTCACCTTGTTACTTTTAAACTGCCTACAACAAAGATGTACTCTGGCCAATAAAGCCCTAGGAAACACAGCTAAGCATTTTTCATAATGTTCACGAGTTAAGACTGTTGCAGGACCATCAACACATTCTGCACTAATGACCTGCACATATGGTGTGATGAAAACTTCCTTTGGGTGAGGATTTCTTAGAGGAGTTACCCCCTTGACTTCCTGGCTATGATGAAACCACCTCACTTTAACCTTTCTTTGACCTCTCTTGTCTTCGTACATATCTTCAATATAAGCAACATAGTGATTTTCTCCCTTTGCCATGACAAAGACAAAGGACTTAATCTGGATGCAAAGGGAAAGGAAACGCAATCAGAGGAAAATAATTACGGTTGACAGTAAAAATTGGAGTAGCATGTCAATTCCATCATTCACATAATACAAATGGTCATTAGCGTTAGACCAAGAAGTACACATCGAGGAAATCTTCAACAAAATGCCTTGATGCATAGTCCTTGAACTAAGTACCCAGAAGTTTATGCATCAATATATCAACTATAAGGCATATGAGACATGTAATACTACAAGGCCTAGTGTTACTAGTACATAATTGTGACTCATGCTCATGTGTTTTCATTCAAAGCAACAATAGTGCAACGTACCAACATAAAGACAATATTTTCGTTATCTTCTCTAGAATCTTTGAACTTGAGACAAATGCTTCATTTATTCAATGTAATGTCTTTGAAGTACCCATGCAGAGGATATACCATCTTAGCTCATACTAATGCCAGAGTAATCATTTTTCTGATAAGAAATGTCAGAGCAATTATTTCTGGAGTACTTAATTTTCCCTGCACCATTTCTGGCATAATATCACTCTAAAAATTAATGTGGGATTAATGTTTGAGAGTTTAAGCAAGGAGAGCTATGCATTCCACAGTTCCACCTCATGCACTTCAAGCCCAATCACCTCACAAATGCATTCCTACTTTGACTGGTAAATCCTTACCGCTATTGTAATCCCATCCCTACAGAATGCAGGAAAATGCTTGAGCTGTTTACCACATGTCCATGCAACACCTGACCAAACAATGTCCAGACTCTGTCCCTTGAAGTTCTTTGAAAGACGGCCCTGATACACAGGTTTTCGAGTCAGTATTTCAGGCAAAAATTGAAAGCATAATTAAGAACAAAATCAATAAAGAGTCATTGGTTACATGGGTCTGGGGGGCACTAACTCCATTCATTGGATATTCAGGAGTCCCCGAAGCTTGTGACGAATGATGTTGGGGTGATTCTGTCATAAAAAAAAAATAAAAAAAAAAAGTATTAAAGTCATAAGATTCCAGTCATACAGAGACAACCCCCCCTCTCCCTCATTTATTGCAATTTTAGTAAAAGGGAAGAAGCTATTAGGTAT